TGTGAAGTACAAATGAATATTCAAGTGGGTAAATTCAGGTTCAGTTTAGCGCTTCCCTCTGCTGTGCCTGTCAATCATTCTACATTCATTCCCTATTCAAACTGTTTGCCGTATTTATGACAACACAAAAACTCTCCAAGATTTTTTGTTCTTGTTAGTTTAAATAATCAGTGGAGAAATACATTAAGTTAAGCATTTAATGGGTTTATGTCGACCTGCAAATAGGAGTTCATTGCAGCTTCAAAACCATGTTGTGCTGTGTGTTAGACGAGCAGATCGCATTCGCAACACTAAAGTAGAGAGGGTTATCACCCGCTTTTCTCACACAAAGTAGGCTTACCTGAAAATTTTCATTAGAAAAGGCTCAATATTGCATATGACAGATTCAAAACGCACACAATCTTCCACTTTTCCGCTGTTTTGGAAATGTCGTGCAAATATCAGAGGGCTGCGCGCTGTGTCTCAGTGATACATCAAGTGCTTCATTCACGCAATGACTGCACAGACGCAATGTGCGTAGCTCCGTAAGGTTATTCTAACAATAAGTCTTTGTTCTCTTATCCTTCTGTGCGAGAATATTCTGCCTCGATGTGGTTAAAGTAAAGTGCATCCAGGGAGCGCTTTTATGTTACAGCCTTATTCCAAAATGGATTAAATTCATTTATTTCCTCAACATTCTACACACAATACCCCATAATGACAATGTGAAAAAAAGAGTTTTTGAAATGGTTGCAAATTTATTAAAAATAAAAAACTTGAATAATCTCATGTACATCTGGCCTGTCACACAGCGCTCCCGACCACACGTCTCGATTAATTGAATATTTTTAATCGATTACGGTTAATGAACTATTATTTTATTTACATATATTTTTGCCCTCATAGTTCACTGACAAGTTTTGTACAGTAAATATGCTCACACATTACAAGTGAGAGATTGTGAATGTAGGGTGGATTACTTGCTTTTAAAATAATTGAAGTAAACACACACTATCTACTATCTGTGATTATTTACTGAACATCAACATTGAATAACTGAAATTAAAACACATTGCCTAAAATGTGGCTCTCTGCACCACACACTCTTATCACCGCTACCAATCCGACCAATCACAAAGCGTGCGCTACTCATTGTTGTGACGAATAAGTACATTTTGCTGACTGGTGCGCGAGTATGTGAAGGCTGCGCTGGACTGTACATGTGCCCATGGCATGCGCTGTTATTATTCACTTACCTTTTCATATGTATTCGGTGCAATTTTAACCCGCTATTTAAAACACGACCGAATATTTTGAATAAGAAGCTGTGATGTAGCCTAGTTGTCAGGTTTGGTAAAAATCTATCCATCTAATGAACTAATCAATCTATTAAAGAAACATTGGCTAGAATTCTGATGAATTTTGATGTGGCGCCACGGAAGAATGAATGTAGCGGAAACCATGCACCATGAGCACCGTTACTACACGTTTTATATGAACAGATTCTATTATATAATAGCACTTTATTCACACCTAAGAAATAAAACGCTAAGGATTTTTTCGACCGGCCCGATCAGTGGTTCCAATTTTTACTTGCCCTTCCAAAACGTTTACTATATATATATATACACACAGTACCTGTCAAGTTTTATTAATTTTTTTTATGTTTTTAAAGCAAAATTATTCAGTTCATCAAGGCTACGTTTATTATATGTAAAAAAAAAAATAGTAAATTGTTAAATATTTATTACAAATTTAAATCACTGCTTTCTTATTGTAAGTAGTTAAAAAAAATAATTATTTCAGACATTATTGCTTTATTACTATTACTATTAATAACAATATCATTATTAATAATAATAATAACAATAATAATAATAATGTTAGAGTGATTTCTGAAGGATCATGTGACATGTAAAGAGTGGAGTAATAAAGCTGAAAATTCATCTTAAAATCCCTGGAATAAATGATTAAATTAAATGATAAACTACTTTTGAACAATTATTTTATAGCGCAACATTTCATAATTTGTGCTGTATTTATGATTAAATAAATGCAGTCTTGGTGAGCAGGAGAAGCTGATTTGTATCATATTAAACAATCATTCTGACCTCAAACTTTTGAGCAGTTGTGTTTAAAATATCTTATAGCTGAAAATGTGCACTTTAATTTTAACACCCCACAGACATCGTCACCGAATATAAATCAGACTCTCATACAGAGCCTCATTTCAGTTGTCAAGTTTAGTAAAAATCTATCCATCTATTAAATTAATCTATTAAAGAAACGTTGGCGAGAATTCTGCTTTATAGGCTTAAGTTATAGAGAGACATATAAGCCGAGACTGCATCAGATCATAAAGCAGATCAATGTTGATCTTTCTTTCAAGGTGTCAGTGCAGAAATGAACAAAACAACAGGCCTAATACAACATAGGCCTATTATACGATTAAAATATGAAAAAATTATCAGATGGTAACTTTGGTCAATTTTAATAACGGATAAACAGCTCTCTAATATTTCAATATAGCACAATTGCTGGATTCACATTTGCCAAACAAACCGCGCTGGCGGAGGAAACGAGACAGATTCTGAAACAAGCGTCTATGTGTGAAAGCACCCTAAGATTGTATTTGCATGCAATTGACAGACAGTCTCAGCCAAACTTTTGTGACAAGACAGCACTGGCCTGACCGGGCCAGTAACATTATGCACACTAACCTGAGCGTCTCGCACGCTGGCCCCGGGCCATCGGGCAGTCCTTATTGTGGCCGATTTATCCAGCAAGTGTTTAACGCAGCGGTTGTCCTTCCAGCCGCAACCGATCTCTGGGAAATAATATTGACATATAACTTATTATTTGCATACGTCATTTTAATAGCAATAACAGTCTTTTCATGAGCTGCAATATTAGTTTCATCTCAGTAAAAGCATGCTCTTCAGTGATAGTGAACGCAGTATCAGTCGCACGATTGACAGCATCGTAACGTTTAAAAGAAGGATTAAATAACGTTAGATCTCGTGCTTAATGTGTAGATGCAGTGGCAAACACTGTTACCTGATACCTCTGTCACACCGGCTTTACGGTGAATGCTTTAGTCATAGCCCACTTTAACCACTGGAAGTCTTTTATCCACTCTTCGAAAAGTGTAAATGCTGGATTGACAATCATTACATGATCACTAATCAGATGTGCCATTATCTGTAACTTCAGGTGGTTTCTAAAACTAAATCTGTCCGTGTTGTTTTCATTCTCTCGTATCCAGATCTTTACATTTACACGGCTCAGAGATTATCTTGATGGCAGGGCAGGCATTGCGGGCTTTGTTTACTGCAGCAAGTTGACATGTCAACTGTTTTAAACCATTCCTGAGCGCTGCGTTTGGTGTTTTGAGGTGCAAAGATGCTTAATGTGGTGAATATTTTGCTGTGAAAACTGGTCGCACGGCATCAGTTTTATGCAACTCATTTATTAGATTTGCTGGAAATATTTATGAATTTCTCCAGTAGACCTACTGAGCGGCATTAATGCATCCTGGAGTAAAGTGAAACGGCTATAAACTCCAGCAAGATTAAGTCATTGTATGCAGAACCACAGACCTTCATCTATAAATAAAGTTTAATTATGAAAACTGTGTTCATCTTAATTGAAACCTCACGCATCACGCACCATCAGTCAGTCAGTCAGCACGTCACCTTAAAGTTTAAACAAATAACGCACAGCACTATACGATTACAGAAAAGTTTGCGCTGTTATAATTCACTTACCTTTTAATGCATTGTGATGCAATTATAATCCGCTAATAAAAAACAACAACAACAATGACTGAATGTTTTGAATGGGAAGCTGTAATGTAGCCGTGGCGAGATGAATCTTGGTGTTGCGCCACGCCATGGAAGAATGAATGTAGTGAAAACCATGATATATTTTAACTGTTTAACTGATACCATTATCTTTTACTGTGCAAAATGGATAAAAAACACTGACCAAACTTTGATTCTTGCTCAAAATTATTATAAATGAGAACCAGAAAGTTGCTGTCTTTATATTTTGTGAATTATGGCTTGCAATTAAACAAATAACTTTGACAGTACATTGATAAATATTTATTTTTAGCTGATCAATTTTACAGCCTATTTTAACACAAAACAATGCATTATCCAGTAGTTCATGGATTTATTACAATTAGGAACGCATAAATCTGTAAATCATTTATTAGTCATAGTTCAACATTTACTAATGTCTTAATAAAATCCAAAGTTGTTCTTGTTAACATTAGATAATGAACAGAGATTTAACATGAACTAACTTCAACTTAAATAATGTTAACAAAGATGAATGACGTTATGAACGTATTACTAATTGTTCATGTTAGTAAACACAATTAATTAAAATAAAATTATTTTAATGTGTTACCTATAACCCTACTTTTTAAACAGAATTACATGACTAGCACATGAAAAATACTACAGTAATTCATAGTAAATACTAAAGTGTTTTTCAACCATACTATAATAAAGTGTATCTATTTATTATTATAGTATTTACAACTGTGTTTCTGAATGCTGTAGCAGTAACTTTGGTGAAGCAATAAAATGCTCTGCATACTGTAGTTAACATGAGTTTTTACTGCAGTAAACTGTGCTGTGTTGTAATATAGTTGTTGTAAATGTAGTACAGTGTTGGTGTTTTGTATTTATACTACACTATTTACTATAAATGACTGCAGTGTTTGTCCATGAGGGTGAAATGAGTGAACACAGCATTTCATTTGCCGCTAATAAAGATCAGACAAATCCTGAAGTATAAGAATGTGTGAAAGTAAACAGGAATCATAACCTGTGCTTTTACCGCGAGAAGCTTTTACATCGAGAGCTTTAATAAAGAGGTTAGTGGCCAAAACCAAGCAAAAACAAAGCTGAAAACCGACACTGAAGATGAACACAGCAGAGAGAAAAACACTTGAATATTGAGAAAGTAGGAATCTGAACTAATAAATAAGGAGAGAAACACAACGTTACCTGTTTACATATGAACACGGTAAAAGTCCGCTATTCCTGATCGCTTTCACAGAGGAATTGACAGTCAAGAGCCAGGATATAATGAAGAAAGGCAGGAGTTGTGTCGTGTTCGCTAAATAATCTCTCTAGAGTTGATAAAAGCTGAAGTGTAGCCTCTTTGTTTCTTCTCATCTTCAACACGAGTTTAATGTTGCTTGTTCTGAGCTTTTCCTCCAGCGCCTCCGCTATCAGTGTGCTGTGTACTACTGCCATCTAGAGGACGATCACAGCAACAGCGACTTACAGCGGTAAACTTCAATAGTATGATCCTGCACAACTGGAGTAGCTGCACTCCAATGACTGTAAAAAATATGGACGACGCGACAGCCCCTTTTGCCATTGAACGCCTTGAGGGCAAAACGCCTGCTTGACGGGCACAAACTGTCGCAAAAGACTGCTGAAATTGGAGCCAGACATGCGCAGAAGGACTGTCTGATGGAGCCAGAGGAGGAGCCGCGATAATGAGCGGAGTCGAGCTTCCAACCAAACGCTTTATGTAAAATCAACCACGCCCCCCGAACTTCTCACTCGACTGCCGGTGTCTGCACTATAACAAACGCTCACTGATGTAAATAGAAGCACTTACATTAAAAAAACACAATAATATACAGTTTAAAAACGGTGTGATGTAAGCTGTTAAACTTTAATAAAAGCAATACATGGTGGACTGCAGAAATAAACGATCTTTTATACACTCTAGCCTGAATATGAGCACAAATAATATATTCTCTTATTGTTATATTTGTTGTTGGTATTTGTTATCTTCATAGGGGTAGAAATAACACTTGTAAAATATGAACAATAACATATAAACAACACATACATTTTTAGAAAGGTTTTTATTTTTAATTAGCCATCAACAGAACCCAAAATATAGCCTACACTCCATAACGATTTANCATGCGGGAACAATCGTGCGTTTAGAAGATAAATACAGCAAGATTACTAAATATCAACAGGATATTTACACATCCCAACCCTGCAATTTGTCAATTTGTGCAAAAAAACTTTGCACTATTAATACAACGTCTATCTGCTGTAACATCACTAGTATATTGTTTATTCATTTTCGCTTGAATTGTTTATTTATTTAATTTTTTTGCCTCCGTTTTCATTTGGTTTATTCGATGCCTTCATTATATCTGGCAACGAGGAATTTACATTCTTTTTAATGTTAGCTGCAGTGTTCAAATAAAACGCCAACAGTAAATGATGTAAATAAATAATATCTAACATTTACAGCTCTATTAGGTTATATAAGATTCGGTTTCAAGAACCTTATAATGATTTATAACAGCAAATTCAGTAGATCACTTAATAACATGCCAAAACTTAAAATGCAGAGACGTCCTATAAAGCAAGTTCAAATAACCTTACAGGAGATCAACGTGGAGATTATTATTTAAACACAAAGAGAATTACTGCTAACAATCTCCTGTATACCCCGTACTTAAATGGGTTTATTTTATTGTGCAGTTTTATTGTCATTTTCGTATTTATTATTATTATTATTTAATACTTGTGCAATCGATACAGGTTTATTGTTATTTATTTTGTCCTTTATTTAAATAATTGCTATGCTGTTTGCATCTTTATTCAAAGGTTAAACTCAGTGATACACTTTGCGTTCACATAGTAGCATGCGTTTGTTGTTATATCAACAAAAATGGGTGTAATAACGTTAACAAATGTGAGGGTTTTATATAATGAAGATTCAATCGCGCCAGCTCCGGGCATCAGCGCATAACCTAGTCGCGGCGTCGCGGGCTGATTCCGGCTCGCATGCGGCAGCGCCTGCTCGCTCGGCCGCCGCATCTGGCTCAATTGACTCAGGCTGGAATCGGGCAGTGAGTCCAGGCATCCGGAGTAGGTCCAGCAGAGGTAGTCAGTCTGAGGGGTAAGTCTCCGGCAGGCAAGAACTGGCCCCAGTGTATTTTGCTATCTGGGTGGTTAGGCGTGTATTAGCAAACTAATAAAGCCCGAAAAAAGCTCTGACCTTAGCGAATAAACAGTGTTCCACCAGATCATGTATGTCAGAAACTGTAGTTTACTGCTGAACTCATTTTGTCATAGTAAAATATCACAGAAATCGAGTAATAACATTTCAGTCTCCTGCCGCAGCTCAGACGCCGCGCTTTGAGAAACTGTCAATCACAGCTGTCAATCACGATGACACGCCCAGCATTAAATTACTGCTAAAAACAAACTGTTCACAAAAATGAGGATCTGCACCTATTTCAGCACAATAATCAGTGCCTTAATCGACCAGAACCATCTTTCGGGACATTTTATTGCAAGTGTAATTAATTTTTTTATTTGGGCTCAAGTCTCCTTCATTAACACGGAGGAGGCGGGCTTTATGACTTGTACTGCAGCCAGCCCCCAGGGGGCGATCTAACGGCCGAGACCTTCACTCAAACGCAGGCTTGCGGCACACTTGCTGCACTCTCAGGACCGCATGTTTAGGACCGCATTTTTAGGACCCTAGTTTTTTGCAGAAGCGCCACCTACCGGATTGGATGACAAAGTGAAACTGCATTTCTAGGACCCGTTTTGTAACTGCGCCACCTACCGAATTGGATTATATAGCGGAAACTTTTAGGCACTTTTATTACAGAGGTTAAAGTGTAAAACGCCTGCTTTAAGTAACATTTTTAAAATACAACAAATGAATTTACACCTAAAATATAAATGAATAAATAGAGTTGAGTGCCTTAAAAGTCTTAAATTCCTTGAAAAATACTGTATATTGATGAACCCCATTACATTGAACAAATTATCTCAGTATTAAGGAAAATAAATTGAAATCAAATGGGTTCAGCATTTGCAGTTACTAATTTAAAACCAGGTTGTAAAGGTTTTAGAGAGACAAGACGCAAGAATGATTCAAGAATGTACATTTATATAAATATCCACACTTTTTTTTATTAATGCAATTCAACCACAAAATTGACCCCACTGTTTATTCAGTTGCTGCATTCAGACTGGCTGTAGACTTTAGCTCCTGTGAATGAGAGTGAAGAAGAAAGTTCAAGTATATATATATATATATATATATATATATATATATATATATATATATATATATATATATATAT